AAAAGTTATTGAACAGAAGTTGGGTTACATACTTAGTTAGATTACCACTTCTTTACTTATCAAAGCCAGGTACTTAGGACGATTCACGGCTCAGCTGAAGGTTGAATAATATGTTTACTAGCCGCCTATGTATTCTTATGTATAATCTTGAAAATTATGTGACAGATAAAACGGAAAAAAAAAAGTTGAAAAAAGTCTACCAGTTGCAAGTAGGCTAATATATTGCTAGCGCTAATTATTTTATAACTTGAATTACATTATAGAGATAAACACCTTAATCTTCATGATTGCTCTTCTGACCCTAGGATGCAAACGCACGCGTTTAAAAGGTAAGAGGTTTGTTATTCCGTTCTATGCTATTCCCCTGACGATAATGGCAGTGCACCTGCTGACTTAAAAACAAATAAAGCAAGCAGATATTATTTTCTCATTATACAACTGGCGATGGACGATGTTTCATCCGAAACATGTTTTGTCTTCATTAAAAAATATAGGAAAAATGAACTTCAAAAGCATCGTGTGGTTCATCAAAGCGATAAATATGTATATATGTTTTGTTTTGTTTTGTTTTGTTTTGGGTTTTTTTTTGTTGGTTTGTTTTTTTTGTCTTGTTTTTGTTTTTGTTGTGGGGAAAAAGTTTGGATAAGATTAGACCAATGGCTGAAGAGTGATTCCCAACCCGTGTTCAGTTAAGTTCTATAAGGATACCTTTTTGTAAAGTTACCTAAATTTTGCCATCAATTTATTTTTTGTCTACAGGATCAGCCCAATACGCCACTATTTGTAACGAAGAAAAGCGAGCCTTAGTCTGGTCTCATTGAACGCATCTTCCAGGATAACTCACTCATAACAGAAAAAATGACCGATTATCGATTACGATATAAAAATTTGGAAACAAACACAAAATAAATCTTTTTCACAACTTGCATTAGTAAAAGTAATGAGGTGTATGTCGTAGCTTTCGGTTTAAAATAATGTCACTGCTATTTTTTTTAATGAGAAATATTATATAAGTAACTTATTACCAATGAGTAGCGCTTGGAATAACTTAAGAAAAAATTATGATAGAATTACGTCATGTTCAGATACATATTGCCACCTTCTCTCGAGTTTTGCATAAAAAAAGTAATATTCTCAGTGATCAGACTCACTAAGCGAGAATGGAATTTTAAACGTAAAACGTGCAGAGGATTACTTGAATAATCATTGCATCCCAATTGATATTTTGACTTATACGCGTGCATAATACCTTTTTATTTAATTTTGTATTTATGAAAAGTGAAAGTGGTGTTAGGGAAGTTTTCCATTAGTCCAAAATAAATAACAGGTCATCGCTGGTAACAGCGACAATACACCTTACCATATCATCGTTAGCTTGTACGTGAGGGTTTAGCAATCTTCTGTGGATTCATTACCAAAGAAGAAGAATGGCAACATGTGTTGCATTATCTTCTGTTCTGTTTCGTGCTTAAAGTTCCGACACACATTTCACCAAATGCTAGGTGACTTACTTACATAAAGCGAGGGTCAGTTCACCCACAAAGTTCATTTAATTCTCAAAGCTGAAGACAGTACGAGTTAGAAATTACTTATTTCTTAATTCTGTCGAATGAAAGACGTCGTCAAACAATGTAAATTACCCTACTGACCTTTGAAAGTAGGGGAATATTCGGTAAAAAAAAAAAATTATCCGATATCTTTAAACATTTCAAGAGAAATTTACTACCAATTAGGGAGTCCTCAAAACCCAAAAAGTCGGTTTTTCTCTTTTGGCATCGTAAGTTTTTGCAGTTGCTAGGTAAAAAAAAAAAAAATTTTTGGCTTAGTCATTTTAAGTCGAAAGAATACTTAACTAAAAGCAAACAGCCTGAAAAATCCTTTTCTGAATCTTGAAAACTATCAGTCATGGATAGAAAATTGATCCAAAATTTTAATTGTTATGGTTACTCATCAGAGACCAAATGACATCTAAAGGAAACACTCTAAGCGGGACTGAAACTTAAGTTGACAGAGTATTAACACTTTCACAAATATTTGGTTCGTGCAAACAGAATTGAAAATATGTCTTATAGTCGTCTCACATAAAAGGAAGGAACTTTGATGAATTAATATATTGAAGAGCAATCTATATCGTTTTCGGATTAATATTAAACGACAGTTAAAATATTTATTTATATTCTAAGATAAAAGAAATAATTATTCCCTGGAATGGGCTTACAATCTTTTGTGTAATGTGCCTTCTTAGATCCCTCCTAGAAAATTTCAGAGTAATTTCAAGTAACTGTTAAAATATTTATTTATATTCCAAGGTATAATAAATAATTATTCCCTGGAATAGGCTCACAATCTAAAGCAAGCTTCAGTTCCACTCATTGGATAGGTCATGGTTGTTAATCCTGTTTTTTAAACTCTTTTAAAGGCTCTATCAGTCTTAGGCACCCTTACAACCGCTGCTAGTGCCTTCAAAAACCTATATGACCTTATTCCCCTATGAAAGATTCACCTTTAACCACACACGTGCCGGAAAATTTCCTGATGATGTAAAATTTCCAAACAAAAGAGTCGTCTTCGAGCAAATTTCGACTGAAAAATAAAGTAAACCAGGATTGCTCTGGTTTTGTGGCACTTTGCCTTGCAAACTCCTGCCACTATCTCAAGCAATAAGGGGCAAAACTAAACTGGCCGTTTACGACTTGGTTACCCCTTTTCACGCACGTTTAGTGGTTTGCTTGATTTAACTTTGAGTTCTCATTGGCTCTTGAAGGTGCTTTTTTCTTTCTACTGATTGGCTTTTATGATTACTTTGGTTTGGGCTTTACGACACTCCTCATTCTAAAAGTGGCTTTGGACGAGTAATCCATTATCACTTGAAGAAAAAGCAACGTGCCCAAGTACTCCGTTGTGTTCCATTGTCAGACCATCGACTTCTTGGCCTCAATTTTTCGCAAAAGATTAAACTAGGAAGCTACGCGTTTCTAAATTTTTCATTCTCCTATTTTTTTTCCTTTCTTCTTCTTTTTTAAAGGAAGAGATCATCTATCTACGACGCGACAACGCCATTTATCTACTTTCGATAATGAAACTGCCATCGATCGTAACATTTTCGCCATTCTTACACTATTATCGACGTTTGTCGACGCAAATTTATCCCTGTTCTCCTTGAATTAAACGGCAAGGCTAGTCACTGTGGTAATAATAGACTCTCGATAACTCAAACCCTCTCTAATACGAACCAAAGTCGATTTCTCCCTGATTTCCATCATGCACTTACTGTAATGTTAATCTCCCGCTAACTCGAAGCAGTTTTCGTTACCCTACAGGTTATTCTCTGTATACATATTTTTTATATAACCACGTCTGTCAATACGTGACAAATCAAAACAAACGGTGAACTGGAGTCCAGAACTTTTACTGTACTTTATTTATTAATTTTTATTATCATTATCACTTTTTTTTCGAGCATCCATTTTTTTTTTGCATTACAGAAACCGTGAAAGGCGAGTTCAAGGTTCGTTGGTTTAGGGTATATGTAACTTCAGTCCCTATATGTTCAATTCTCGATGTCTCGACCCTTTTTCAGTTAAAAAGTTTTTTTTTTTTTTTTTGAGACAGGTAGAGACCTAATGCGGATTTCTTTCATTGAACTGCTTCGGTTTCTACTCTAGTATATAATTATTGGTGGAAAGAAAGATGTGGAAACTAGTTTTCTACTTGCAAGGTATTAAAAAGAGGGTATTAAAAAACCGATAAGCTTTGACGAGAGGCTCGTAACGCTCAGCTTTAGAACGGTGTCCGATTCACTTTATTAACTCAGTTCATACACAAAATCACCTGATTTACTTGCTTAGCCCGCATGGGTCCGTCTGTATATAATGGTAATAGGACTGATTCGAGTCCAATTCAGTCTGTAATCATACAAGTGATGAACAAGATCGGACCACAGCTTAGCTGTAGTCTGATTTGACAATCGCGAGTATGATTACTGACAGAATTGGACGACACAAAGTACTGTTACCAATTAATCATAACCGTTACAACTTCAAAAAATAAATAAATAAATTTAGGAAAAACATCATTGGGCAGAGACAGTGTCTAAAGTCAAAATTCAATCATTTTAATTGCTGGTATGTCCTAGCAAAGTGTGTCTTGTAATACACTAGTGTTCATGAGGTTAAAAATAGGGATTACTAATCGGCAATCGCAGATAGAGAACAGCCAAGGCAAATAAGCGGTGTGTGTTATTTTTTTAAACAAAAATTTCGAACACAAATGAAAAAAATATAATGATAAGCAAAGAGTAAAAAGTATGCTTTTATCAGGCAGGCGTTGACGATTGGAGAGGACAAAATCTAACGTTTTAGCAAACTCAGGAAGAATTAGCGACTATGGATATTTAACAATTATTTGCCGAAGTGGAGGTAAATAGTGGTGGGTAATTTCCAAGGTGCGAATAACTGTTTTGGTATATACCATACAGGAACCAAAACAATCAGTACATTTCTGTCAAATAACAAAAAATTATTGGAAATTAATGATTGACGCGCGAGATTGTCTCTTTGGCTGCTCGGAGGTGAATAGTACTTGCTAATCTCTTCCGAAACAGCCAATCAGCGCGCTCGAAAAGCACTACCCTCCTGTGTGGTAATTACTAAATGATGAATTAATAAATCTACAGCGCTTTTGCGTAGTCTTATTGACACGATAATCTTCATCACAGAGTTCAAAATGTCGTGGACTCACGAGGCGCAGCAGTCCACGCTGACGCACTCTCAATAAGCTTTCTTTTTTATTTTGTTCTTTTATTACAGTATCGACGTGAAATGAAAGGATTCTTTAAGTGCATGACCAACTTCGTGACACGGTGACGTGGCAGCGTTGTCTGTGCTCTTATCGACAACGGAAAATAGATCATAACTTTATAAATTTAACCACTCCTTTGCCGGAAGAAGAACACGAATTTGCTGTATTCGGAACTCCAGAGAAAGAAGACAAAAAGCGGGAGAATATTTGGAACTGGGAATATCTGGTGAAAACCAAGCGAAAGGAAAGAACGTTATTTCCCTTTAACTTGACGCCTTAAATCAGCTCAAGCCGTAAACGCGTCGTCACGTGACCCCTAAGAGAGCAACGGGAGGAATTTACATAGCAACCGACCATCGTGAACGCCCTGTTTCACGCAGTTTTTTTTTTTGACGACAATTTGATGGCATTTAAGATGAGAGGAATAAAAATAGAGGTTGTTTCGTTGTTGATTCAACTTACTTGCAATTTGTGTTCATTCAGATCAAAAAGCACTCAAACATAACTTTGAAAATTGATCAGGCAACCTAAATTTGATGTCAAAAGAAATATCATGTCAGAGAGAATTTATTAAGGATATTAATGATGCACTTGTGGACACGACTTCTCTCTGTACAAGTGAGTAAGGCGCTGCTTTTTTTTTTTTTTTAATTAAATTTTGAAGCAATAAAGTTATCATCTGCGCGTTACCTCAGCTCATAGAAATGCTTGTGCAATTAAGAAATAAAGCCAGATTCTATCTACATTTTTTCCCTTCAAGAAAACGTGAGAAGGTTAAGTTACTGAACTGGTTGTGTTGTGTAATTGTCAGAAAAGCTCCAGCAAGAAGGGATTAGGCAATAATTACATTTCACCAGAGATATCAAAACTTATTTGAGTCATACAGGTGGTTCATTAAGCATGGAGGGCTTTTAGAGATCTGATCTTCATTAGCCAAATTTCTTGCGGTTTTCGTCAGGAAATGAATTGAAACGTTTTGAGGAAATTGAAACATTCCATACTTTTGCATTGATTCTGCAACACATTCCTTTGAAGCTGTTGCTTATGCGACTGCTTCCTTAATGAATACAGATTACAAAGAAAACAAATGAATAAAAAATAAATGAATGACAATACGCTGTATACTTAAGGGCTAATATTTTTCAAGAACTGAAACCAGGCCATATAATAAAGTTGCAGAGTAAATCGAAAGTCACTTATGCTTCATATATTTTTCTTTTGTTCCAGGAAAATGAAGTGCCTTTTGCTGGATAGATTAAAATGTATCGCGTGGTATTGAGCATTATGCTAAGCTCAAGATTTTACACAGCTGATGGCGTATGATGACGTGATATTCAGTATGGATACGCTTTATTTTGTACCAATTCAGGTTGTAAGCCGATTTTCTCCAGCTCAATGGACATTAAATTTAGGAGGGCATAAGCCTCCAAATGGAAGATAAATAAAGAAACTCCTTAGTTTAGTTTAAAAGGTCAGTGTGTCTTGAAGTCCCAGACTAGAAACAATAGACCTAAAAGCACAGATCTATAAAAAAATTGACTTGCTATGCTCTCCACGTGGTACACGAAAAGTCTCATCTAAGGAGGGAAAACACGAAGAAAATTATACTATAAAAATCCCGTACCTCATCGGGAATTGAGTATGACATCTGAAAAACAAAATAAGCTAGTTAACAAATCAGAAATGAGGATGAAACTTTGAATGATGAAAACCGCCGCTTTGCAAAGAGAGAACTGTCATTTAAATTTGCGTAATTTTCCAAAAATTATAGACCAAACTTTTCCATACGCGCGAGACTTTCCACCCATCAAGTTTTTTTTTTCAAGTGTTACTTTAAAAGCCCTTGCTTCCAGCTGCAGCGAAATGCACTGTGAACTGATCAAATGACGTGCGTGATTATTGCCAGCACAAGCATAAATGGGGTGAGTTTGGCTCATCACATCTCTTAAACAAACATGGTGTCCTATCTGTCTTCTTGTCTTTTTCGAAACAAACATTATGCCCTCTCTGAGTACTTATGGTGTGCTTCCCCAATGGTCCAAAAAAGGGTTTAAAAAACGGTCAAAAAATAGTCCAAAAAATAGTCCAGTCCACATTTTACCCTATGTCTTATCCGCAACAAACAATGATTCCGACCAAGTGCAATGATACCAATTACTACTTTAGTTGAATCAAAACTAGAGAACATTCGTACGGATTAAGAGAGAATTTAATTCTGTTTTTGTTTCCTGTAATCGTTTTTGTCACTTTTGTGTTATTTGATCCGGAACTCCGGTCGATACTTACAAATGAATAATTCGACACGAAAATTATGCGCTTTTGTTTTATAGGTTAACATCAGCGCGCTACGATCTAGAACTCATGGT